AAACCAACAAGAACAGCAAACTTACTCTCTGCCAATAGTAGTTTACAACCCCCAGCAGGGAGGAGCTGAACAAATAGCCTGAGAAAGTCGCCACCTCTGTGAGAGAAACGCTGCCAATATCGAGGTCATTTCACCAGACACAGAAACCAGGAGCCAACCACAGGGCCAAGAGCAAGTAAATCAATCAGCAAAGCACAACCACCACACTCAGCTCTACAGCTGGGAGCATAGAACCATCACAAGCAAATGCTTGTCCAACCAAGGCTGCAATCGTGTGTTTTGCTACCAAATTTAATCAGTTGTAAACCCCTAACATTATGCTACTAGTGTGTGTTTTCCATTCTTAAAGCCAGAAGACTGAAGAGTCATTTTGCTTTTATTTTTAGTCCCTTAGTTTCTTATGTTCTAACACAGTCTGTTCACATCTGGGTGACACTTTAAGTCATCTCTTTGCCCAGTAATTTCCACTGGATTTCTATTAGATATTGTATTAATTTGTTTTCTGTAGAGCAGTTTTGAAAAGTTTATTTGTTTCCAGCTAAACAGACACAACTGTGTTTTTCACAATTTGAAATCAATGTGTACATTTCAAAGCAACCGTATCAAATATCAATGAACACATAGGAAAAAAATTAAAAACAGGAGAAACAAGAACAAAATTTAAAAAAACCCCAAGACACACACAACAAACCGAAGTCAGTAGTTTCATGGGCAGCATAACAACCTCCGGTTTTAAGACGAACAAGCACCAGAATGCTCACTGGCATTCGTATGCAGAAGCTTCTCCTGCAGTTGGTAACAGGGAACTCCCGCCCCAAAGCACCGTGTTCCAAACCCCCTCCTTGCGAAGCCCGATGGAGCGGGGACATCTACTGGCAGCAAAGATTAGCGGGGGCAGGAGAGGCCGAGCCAACGGTTTAACAAAATTACATCCACCCATGCTCCTGACAAATCTAAAAATTCCTAATCCTGCCATTAGATAAGGATTGCTAAAAAAGATATTTTTTAGCAATCTTTTCAGCAAAAGATATTCTCTCAAAGACACTGCTAACATTAAATAGACAAATCTATATCAGTACTCTGGTAATGTTCACAGAAGGGAAGGCATTTTACTTAAACTCTTATTATTATCAGCAAGCACACAGAAAGCAACATAAAACACCTATTTTTTAAAAAGTCGGTTATTTAAAGGAAAATTATTATAATAATGCACCAATAAAAGAAATGGCAATTAGCAAGTCTAGACTAACGCGCCATCATCTTTATTTGAATATTCACATTTCAACTGCACATCGAGCTAAATAATACAATAGCCCTCACCTGATTATATAAAAAGAAAATAGGAGGGAAAAAATCAGGTCCTTGGTTTAGTTTGGATTTTCTTTTTAAAAATCTGTAAAACAATTAGATCTAGAAAGGAAAAAATTTAAAATTTACTATAGGCAAACCTTGGCACAGATCAGGAATTTTCTGCTTTAGAACATTTCAAGTCATCTTTAGATGCAATCAGCTTTTAGCAGATACTGTAAGCAGTTGGCTGAAAATTCATTACGACAGATTTTGTCAAATACAGTTCTGTACAAAACAGAACATGACAGGTTAAACTGCCAGCCTTGCAGTTCATTTTAACTGACTGAAATAAAACAAATATTGTTTCAAAAACTAAGGAGCTGAAGAGCTCTTTTTCTTTTAAAAAATGAGGAACTGAATTTTGCTAATAAAAATTCCTTGAAAATATCTTAGTTTACAGAAAGAAGCAAAACTTATAAGACTGCCTAGAGTAAGTCTGCTCTGCAGATGGAGAAATTCCAACTGCAAACACCTGATTCAGAAGCACAGCTGCAACTACTGAAATAGAGAATGGCCATTTCTAACTCTTCAGTCTCAGCTCATCTCAAACAAAAGTAATAGGAATAAACTATCTTTTCTATAAGTTGGGCAGGAACACCCTATGGGATGGTCCAACAGAGAAATCATTTCTGGGTAAAATTATCAGTATCAAGAGAACAGGAGCAGAAGTGAGTAAAGGAATCATCTTCAAAGCAGCAGTATCAGAAGTATGAAACTAGAGAAATAAATACAAACAATGCTAATTTCATTCCTCAATTATACAATATGGCAACACAAATGCAGGTAAGTCATTTTGCTGTTTGCAAGCACGGAAGAAGCTTCTTTTTGATAATCAAGTTTCACGGTTGTGAGGACCTTTTCTTTAACAATAGTAAAAGTCAAACGATAGTTCTTTACCAAACTTCACTTCTTGGGTGAAAAGAGTTAAAGCTTAATGCTTTCTGTATTTTTGTTATTCTGTTAAACCACACGCATGTAAAGACAGTAATCCCTCTGATAAGTCTTTGTAACACAGCATAGTCTAAAAATTCAACCTCAAGGAGTAAATGCATTCATCAAAGAATAAAAAGTATTTAGGCCTTACCCCAAGTTCCCAGCCTTCCCCAGAGACAGAAGCCACCATCCAAAGACATTTGATGCAAGTGTTTGTCTTCCATTTGCGAAGAACTCTTGGATTTGAAGCCAGCTCATGGGCTATAAGGCCTCTACAGCAAAATTGCAGGTTATCAGCCCCCAGCCGGCGCTACCTGGGGCTCGTGCTGCTCACAGAAGTGCAGCTGAGGTGGAAACGTAAGCACAGCTTAACTTCCAGCAGCCACCTGCCTGACCTGAGGGCTCCAGCCCTCGGAGCAGTTCTGCCTCAGCACAGCCCCGCTCACCCCTGAGGCACAGACCCTGCAGGCACCGGGCACAGCCCCGCTCACCCCTGAGGCACAGACCCTGCAGGCACAGCCCCGCTCACCCCTGAGGCACAGACCCTGCAGGCACCGGGCACAGCCCCGCTCACCCCTGAGGCACAGCCGGGCTCACCCCTGAGGCACAGACCCCGCGGGCACAGCCCCGCTCACCCCTGAGGCACAGACCCTGCAGGCACAGGCTCACCCCTGAGAACCCGGGCAGGCACAGCCCCCCAGGGGGCACAACCAGCCCGCGGGCACAGCCCGCTCACCCCTTAGTCACAGACCCTGCAGGCACCGGTCACAGCCCCGCTCACCCCTTAGGCAGACCCTGAAGGCACCGGGCACAGCACCCGGCACAGCCGGGCTCCCCCTGAGCACGACCCTGCAGCACAGCCCCGCTCACAGCCCTGACCCTCTGAGCAGGCTCACCCCTGAGGCACAGACCCTGCAGGCACCGGGCACAGCCCCGCTCACCCCTGAGGCACAGCCGGGCTCACCCCTGAGGCACAGACCCTGCAGGCACAGCCCCGCTCACCCCTGAGGCACAGACCCTGCAGGCACAGCCCCGCTCACCCCTGAGGCACAGACCCCGCGGGCACCGGGCACAGCCCCGGCCCGGGGAGCGGCGGCTCAACGGCGGGATTGTTCCTGACTGAGGAAAGGAAACTCCAAACGCCTCCTGCAGACGCGCGGGTGGCTGGGGAAAGCTGCTCCCGTCCAGGGGTGAGCGCTGTGGACACGGCGGAGGGAACCACAGACCCTGCGGGCCCCTCCGCCCCTGGAGCCGGACCCCGGGAAACCTCCCCGGCCCGGGCAGGCCCGGCTTCACCGCCGGAGGGGGGAACAGGCAACGGGTACAGGTTTGATCCCACGTTGGGTGCCTGGCTGGCCCTGCCTCCCCCTCACACAGCCACCCCAGCAGCACTTCAGTTCGTAACTGTTCCTCCCCCCTTCATTCCCTTCAGTACAAGCAAGAACGTCAACGCTCGGAGCAGGAGCACGCCCAGGTCGGGCCTGTTGTCAGACCCCACCTGGGGGTCTCTGCTCTATCCAAAATGCTGTCACTGCTCTTGCAGTCATTTTACTCAGATAACTGCTAAAAACTGGATACTGCTCCCAAGTCCTGCGTGTTGTGTTTGGTACACGCACAAACAGGAAGCCTGAAACATCCAAGTTCACTTTCTATAACTAGTTTCCACCATCTCATGCTTAACAGGGATTGCAACAGCAGTTGGTGATGGCTAAGCCTCTTCTTAGTAGACAGGTAGATACACATTTTGCACATGGCAGAGCCTGTTTGCAATTTCCATTCATGTTACCATGGGACTGTATTTAAAAAGCAGAACTGCCATTATTGTCGACTAATCCAGAAAGGTGTTAGAGGAGTAAGGGGAATCTGTGTAAATCATGGCTGATGTTACTTGAGGTGTTCCTCTGCAGCCCTGGCTCAGCTTGCCAAGGAAACAGAAAAACACAAGTTCCATGTGTTTTTTTTTTTTTTAAGAGAAAAATAAGACATTTCAATAGATTGCAAAGCCACAACCAAGATGTGACCAGCTGGACCATGGCAGACTGTAGGAGTCTTAACAGACGGACTATGTAGGTCCCAAATTTTTTAAAAGGGAGAAGCATTCTCCTCCAAGGCACATGGGGAATGTTAATTAAAATTATGCAATCCTTTCTACTATTCAATTACTTTAAAAGTAAGGCTTGTGGCAGATTTCACAAAGATAAATCTTAGAAACAGAGTAATGCAAACAGTTCTACTTTAAAATAATGTAAAAGCTTTTCCTCTAGTCCCACCCGATTGTGCTGAAACTTCCTTTTGGAGATTTTAATGATGAAATGGCATCTGGCATGAGATAATTCTGACTAGAGAGAAATAAACCCTATTATCTTTACATGATTCCCTCCCCTTCTCCATTTTTACAATAAAAAGGCTGACTGGCTCCATCATAACTTAAATGTAGCATTTTGGGTTGCACAGAAAAGCGAGTGACCCATTAGGTCAATTAAATCCAAACATGAACACAATTTCAAGTTCAATACTTTGTTTCCTCTGGCAACAGAATGAGAACACTAAGCATGTAAACAGTTACATCACCGTTGCCTAAAGAGTGTTCCACTACAAAAGAAACATGCCTCATGCACATTTCTGGCTTACCAGCACACTCAAAAAGGAAAAAGAAAAACCCACAAGAAAAGTCATACCATTCACTCAAAGTACAAATGCTTATCTAAATCCAGGAGAAGAGAGAAGTGTGTAAGAGGTTATTTATCAAAGAATGATGCTCTGTGAAAATACATTAAACCAAAGCATACATTAAAGTTTAACGTACTTTCAAAAGCCAATGCACATAGTAAGCATCTCTTTTATTTGTTGTAATATAAAGAAGCATACATCATTCAGTTCTTTAAAGTACAACTCAAATTGTACACTAACAAAAAGGATCAATTCAGACATCCATGAACATGTCAACAACAGAATTCATTACATTTTGCTCTGCTGGTATTGCACTCGGAATGGTTTTGAAGTAAGGCACAGTAAAAACAAAGTCATTTAGTGCTTCTACAGCAGATGTCTTTTTTTAAACACATGCTACATAACATAAAAGTACTTCTAGCTTATGTATGTACACACGGGAAAAAGAAAAAAAGCATGCACTAGAGAATTCAGATTCCAACATATCTTGTTGTTTCATAATATACAAATAAAGTAGTTTAAAGATGTAAACAAATTGCATGCACATAAACTAGAGCAAAATCTTTAATACAGTATCTGAAAGCTAATATGCTTAAATAAAAAAATATAACTTATCAGTACTCAGGTTTATGTGCCATTTTTGTCCTGTAGAGATTAAGTTTGCGGCTGGGGGCAGCAAGTTATGGGCAGGCAGGGAGGGTTTTTCTGATTTTGATGTTGGTTTTATTTTTTTTGCTTTACATGTTGGCAGCAGTACACTGGTAAGAAAGACAAATATGGCTTTTGCAAAACAAGGTCTAATGAAAACATGAAAAAGCAAAATTGCATTTGGGGTCCAGCATCCTGATATTTTTCAGTTGAGAACAATACAAAACAAAAATCAATATGATCTACGCTTTGAACTGGCTAAGTCATGCATTCCAAAAGACCTTCCTAAAGACATTTAAACTCTACAAAAAACAGGACACTTTGTCAAGTGTAAACTCTTAAAAACTAAACACAGAAGAATCTGAATGACTCAAGCTTCGCTTTCCACTTCAAATGCTACTAAGTTTCTCCCAAGGCTGCAATAGCTGAAGTGCTGTTAGACTGTCTTCAGAATTAACTACATGCCAGGAGTGGGTTTACTTATTTTTACACAAGTACATTAGAAATTAAGTAAATTAACTGCATAATTTTTGCTTTCACTTTATCTTTGGCATAGGATGCACCATTTTTCAAATTAAGTACAGGACATTTACCACTCTGCATTCCAACTTGTTATGCTGAAAAGGCACACTTGTTGCTGCCCGGGTGGCAAGGGAAGACTTCTTATTTTGCAAAAGGCACGGTGTTGAGTGCGACATTCTCTCCTCATCCCCCAGAGAGAGTTTAGTTAGACCAGGTACAATTCTACATAGCGGCTTCCCAGGAGCTGTCCATTTTTCTCAGCCACTGCTTTCTTAGCTAGATCCAGGCTTGGAAAAGTCACCAATGCCTTGCCACTGGGCTGGCCATTAAAGTTGTAAAGCATGAGGATGGAATCTGCTTGGAGCTGCAATGGTACAAGAAAACAGAAGAAAAAAACTATAAAGACCAGAGACCACACCTGGAAATGCAATTTTTAATGCTGCACATCTGGTTCACTCCACTCCTGTGTCTGTGGTGAAAATACTCTGGATGTTGAGAGTGGGAAGGAGGAGAAGGGATTGAAGATTAGAAGAATTCAGCTTTTAGCTTGGCAAACAGCAGCAGCTCTTGTTCTGCTGGTGTGCTGAATAGAATAGACATAATTCCATGCAAAAATTTTGCTAGAGAAGCAATTGAAATTAAAGGTTGATAAGAAAATAAAGACGTAGATGTTAATAAAAGGTAAATGGAGCAAGAAAGTCCAGGCATTCAATGAATAGTTCTTGTACTATGTGGACTACTGGCCAAGTGACAAAGGATATATATAAGGCATGTGAATACTCACACACACAGTTAAAAAAACAAACAAACAAACAAAACCACATACACAAAAAATAAAAGAGCCGCTACGAGTTCTGTGTTGAGAGGATGAGCTGAACTCAACACAGGCATACAGCACAAGAAAGATTTTTCAGAAAAATGAAGTAAAATTTGGTGCAGTCCAACTGAAATTAGTACTTATTGCAATTTTAACAAGGTTAAGAAAAAGCAGGGTAGCAGATGAGATTATTTAGTCACTGGAGTTGATTTACTTTGGAGAGCATTAGCCCTCATAAAGTCTTAAAAGGCAGTTCCAAATTGCTGAGTTCAAAGCAGACATCTGTCTGCCCTGTTGTACTCCATCCATTTCCCATAACATGCAGGAAGTACTTCCAAGGTAAGTTTGGAACCCCTGTTTGTTGGATAGAAATGAACATCAGTGAAGTTTCAAAACCAAAGGCTGAAGGATCAAAAGCTCAGCATACAAGGTTAATTTGTTGGAGAAAACAGTGTCAGACAAAACCATGCTGGAGAACCAACCAGTTTTAGGAGTATTAACCCAATTCAAGTTAGGTTCATGTGACATATGTCCTCTTGAGTTTATAAAAGGTTAAAATATTTAAGGGTTTCACTTTTGTAGAATTTGTGTGCCTGGTATACTGTAAGAAATAGAATTCTCAGTTATTACCAAGAGCAGTTTCTGACAGCTTTACATTCAAACATATGGAAATAAAGCAAGTACATGCCAGAGCTTCACTTACCCAAACACTGAGCAGGCAGTACAAATATTCTTAAGATGTAAGCAACGGTACACATTAGAAACCAAAAGCATGCATAAGACAGTTAGTACAGACTTTGCATTATTTCTTCTCAGGTAACTAAAGTTAGCCAAGAAGTAGCATACAGAAAGAAATTCAAAGACAAATAAAAACCCTCATGTCTAAAGCCCACTTCAACTTTGGAAGTAATCTTGGTTTATTTCAGAATAACACCGTGCTCAAAGAGAAAGTTGAACACAGTTTGGATTAAGTCAGAAATCTGAGCTAAAAGATGCTCGACTCCAAACAAGCTCTGTTATTAATCCATATGGGATGAAGTCATTTACCACCAGCCCAGAACAGAAATTTAATATTGCAGGTTAGAGTCAGCTGAAAACACACATGGAGCACAGTTAGACTTCTAAGCACAGAGAAGAGCTTTAAAAACATAGTTTATTGGTGTAATACCAATGTAAGGATCTGGAAATTCATGTTATAAGGGTTGCAAAGAAAGCTAGCAGAGAAGTTTATGCATTCTGCAAGCAACATAATTAAAAGAGTTAAATAAACCCCTTCGGTTTCATTTTAAGACACACTAGGGTTAAGTTCTTATTCATACGTATTTATAGAGATAGAAATAGATTTTCTTTATGCACATATGTGTTTTATAATTAGATTCAGATTCAAAGAAATATTTTATCTGGATTTTTTTTTTTATTCTAAAAAGAGTGGTATATGTATAATACTACTTTGAGCCACTTAGAATTCAGGATGAGCTACTCTGTGAATTAGTAAAGACTTTTTCCATGCCATACATAGTAGAAACCTACTGCTGATCTGGTTTTCCAGTTAATCACCAGACCACGCAGCCTCTAGTCTATCTGCTCCCCAGCAGATCCAAGAGTATCATGAGAAACCAACTAATTTGAAAACAACTGAGTTGATGGCGTTTATGTGGAAGTACCTTTGTCTATGAAGGTAATTGTCTTAAGGCACAGTATTTGATTGCCATATTTGTACTAAAAGTTTGTTGTGGTTTTTTTCTTAAGGAGAAAAAAAATATACTGACTAATCAGTAGCATTTTGAATGGAATACTGTAGTACTGGGACATCCAGTACTCCACACAGGCCACAACGAGTTCTTAAAGAATTATGTGTTAGTGCCAAATATGCAGGCAAGTTTACTGTTAGCAAATCTAGTTAATTGCATCAGAAAGTCACTATACCCAAAAAACCTCTCCTAAAAAAATAAAGTAATAGCTCACATTGCATTAGGGAGATCAAGAAACAGAAATATTAATCTCCAGCCAGTTATATCATACAGAAAAGACAAAGCCAGAGGTCTGGGGTTTTTTGCCCACAACTTAGTGCGTGCTTTCTAGCAAGAGGAAGAAAAAAAATCATCTTCTACCACTCTACTAAAAGTAAAATATTGGTCTGGAAGCTTTACATGAGAAACAAGCACTAATAAACCCTGCTGGAAGTTTAACACACCGTCTGAGCAGAACCAGGCAATCACACTACCTCCAGCACTGCTACCCCAACCACGGATCACAGTGGGCCCATTTCCTTAGGTTAGTTGATTTTTTAAGCAGAAGGACTAATGCAAGGATCCCAACGCAAGCTAATAAGGGGGGAAAGCCACAAGAAAAAAAATCTCTATCACCAAGCCCTTCTTTTCCTTCCCATTCACCTCTGGAGACACAGGTTCTGCCAGTCATATCTTACCTTCTTCAGAAGTTACAAAGAGTTACAAACAGACCCACTCTTTCGGTGCTTGTAACACACTCCTGGCTTGATCGCTCAGCTGAATCAGGCCATTGTAGTCATCGGGTGCATACTACAGTACAAGTGTGACACGGAGAGTCAGCAAGAGAAGGAACAGTCCTGCTACAGCAAGCCACACAGATGATCATTTGCAACCATAATTAAGAGCATCAGCTATAATAACTGGCAGGAGACAGTGAATTTGACAGATGCTATTTTTACACAAGATAAAAAAAATGTACATCAACTGTATTACTGGTCGTAGGAATAGATATAAAATAAATGCTTGTGGGGAAAATTCTGAACTGTATTTGAACTGTTCCTTATTGAGGAAGGGAAATAGCTCAGATTACGAAGTGCTCCTTTTTTTTTTTCCTTCTACTCATGAGATGGCAGCATCAGGTAACCAAACTCTTCAAGTTTGCATGAGCATAATGACACCTCCAGTAATGGCTCTCACTGGGACGGATGAGCATCTCCCAGCCTGCACACTGAAGTGGGGCATTGGTAGAAGTGTATGGATCTCATTCAGACCTTTTATGTACCCATGGAAATAAACTGCACCTTCTCTAGGGTAGAGTGATAAACACTTTAACTGCATATAATGCTTGCACTACATAGACTACACCAATGCAATTAAAGAAAATCAGTGTCCTGGCATGAATGCACCTACAAGATAAAATTTATACCAGTGTGGTATATTTCTACATCGAAAAAAGAAATAAATGATCCAGTGTAGCTGCATCATGATAGATTTGTAGAAGTAGTATATTAAAATAAAAATAGTGACTATACAGTACAGTCACAGCAACAAATTAAAACAAAAACCTCATATATGTACCAGATCTAAGATTTACTTGAGGTCCTGAATCTGAACAGTAATCACACATACTATTGGCCTGGTACAAATATAAAACACATAGTCAGAAAATACATCTTGGGGGATATGAAACATTGTTTTTATCTCATAATCTTGCCAAATTATATCCTGGAAAAGGACTGAGAATTCTTGCACATGCTGCAAAGAGTACTGGAGCGGCTCCTATAATCCAGAAGACAAAGTGTGTAGCATAACACAAGTTATCGAATATCCTTTTGGTGGCAAGAAGGTTTTCCTGCCCTGCAAAATGGCTGTTTTGCACTAACATTTTAGATGATTGCCAAATGCACACAGTATGGATGTACTATGCTGCCTTCCTTTGATATTTCTATAATACAAAAAGTCTCCTGCCAGCTTAGGGAGAAAAAGGTGTTATATTTGGGCATACAGGACACATCGTATCCATCCAAAGGGAAGTTGAAAAGAAATAAACAGCCAGTATACACCTTTCACAGAGAACAATAACCAGGAGCCCAGAGAACATAAAAGAAAAGAACCTCCCAGAATTTTTACTACTGAATTCTAGTCACCTTCACATCTAGACCCATGCCATTAAGTAAAAGACAAATATAAGAAGTATTTTCTAGATAGTCTCTGCTAGGGAAACCAGACCGTGCAAATATTAGATTTATCAGTTCCCAGACCTGCCCTTGAAACAAATCTACAAAATGTAAGTTTGCTCTTTGGAAAGAATGTCTCAAGATAGTACATACTTTAGATTATCAGTAGATGTACAGTAGGCAAAGATCTACAGGCTCTTGTGAGGGACAGTATTTCAAAGGTTACGCTTGAAATGCAATAAACAATGTCGAAAACATGAAAGTGGGAAAACTATCCTGCACAGAAAGTCAAAGTTGTCAGAGCTTAGGCTCAGACCTAAAGAAAGAGAAACAGAAAGAAGAAAAAAAAATCCTCAAAAGACCTAGCGATAGAAGCAGCTTCTAATCGCAAGAACAATAGGTAAGAGACTGCAGTCAATTAAAACAGAAGCTGTGGAACAGTAAATTCTTCAAATGAAATAAAAACTACCCTAATTTGCCTGAGTAAGCACATGATTGTGAATATACCTCTGATTCTATCTGCATTTCAGAACCCATAAGAATAAAACAAAAGTATTCAACCACACAGGACAAAGCCAAGGGTAAACTGGTTAATAAAGAGGTAGTATACTACACTTTCTCTTTGTACATTTTTTTCCTC